CATTTGAGGGTCATTTTAAAATGGTCAAATGACCTGGTCATTTGCCATCACTGTGTGAGTGAGGGATTGATCAAATCATCGATTATGATTTTTTTTATCAATTAAATATCCTATATAGGAAAAGCTATTGAAACTAAAGCTAAATCACTAACTAAAAGAACTCAATATATATATGAACCTTCTCTTACCATATTACTGCAAAGTAGTCGTGTAAGCATAATACCTATATGAATTAATTAAAATAGACCAAATTGCTTAAACTAAGTATATAACTATAGAAATACTCTCTCGTATTAATTGTGAGCAATATCAACAGCTCATATAGAAAGCTAGCACCATTGTAGAAGTTCAAATGTTAGAGGAGAAAATTGTTAGTAATAATTTATTTGCATTACTAAATGATTATGTCAAAAAAGTTGTAATCACTATTTTTACTATTATCATAGCTATCATGGTTATTATTATAACATTTATCATTATTTTTTTTACTATATTTATTATCTTAATTATATTTATTTTCTTTATTATATTATTATCTTGATCTTATAATTATATTTTATATAAATATCCTGTATTGTTGCCTTGATAAATGAACAAGTTTCTATTATAAAATTAATAAAATATAATCTTAACAACATAAAAACTATATCTTTGCCAATATCTATTTTCTTAAAACATAAATTATTAATAAAGATGATTTGACCTTTCAACTTAAATAAATTTATATTTATTTCTTTCATAGTTTATAACTTAAACTCCTTATTAGCAAATAAGCTTTGTTATTCTAATGACGTAGTGTTTAGGCTTAATACCAAATGTAGATATTGCTTAATGACAAATATCATATTTAGAATTACCAATCAATCTCGGTATAAAAAATATAAAAGAGTAGTATCAATCACTATTGATGTCTCAAAGTTTATCAGTGAAAATTTTATTTAAATAAATTTATCTATTATACAAAATTTAATTGCAGTAACAAAATTGCTGATTAAATATTAATAATAATCATAAAAATAACTATTTATTTGATGAACATTTTAATTTTTCACTAATGAAATGGATTCCATATTTTTAAATTACAAGTTTAATAAAAATAGTAAAAGAAGGATATGGTATAGTTTATCAAACAATTAGATTAAATGACAATTCAAGTTAAATTGTTGTAATAAAAGAATCTTTCACTCTCAAACTATTAGCAAAATTTTTTTAAATGAGATAATTATTTAATATTACTTTTATAAGTCATTTTTACCTTATATCAAAATTTTGCTATTATAATAATTTTAGTTAAAATTGTTATATTATTGTACTGATACTTTGATGTACATAAATGTTATTCAATATTATAGAATTATATAAGATTCTAAGACAAAGGAATTTATGTTAATAATGATATATGCAAGTGGAGATGATTTGCATAATTATTTATAAAAATATTTTAAAGATATTATATGGAATAATAAATTAGTTTTTTTAGATGATATTTCAAAAAGGTATTTATATTTTTAATATAATTTATAAATGTTGATTAAATAAATAATTAATATATATATATACTTTTTTAAATTTTGTGATATTCATAAAAACAATATTATACATTGAGATCTTTATAGTGAAAATATATTAAATATATCAATATATGCTTTTTTGAATAGGTATATTAGCAATTTAGAATTATCACAACTCGCAGATAATTTGCTAAATAGTAAATATATGGTATAATCTTCTGTCATACTAAGTATCATTTATAATTATTTTCATACTAATTTTTTACTTATTTCCCAGTCTTATATAAACAGTCAAGAAATCACTCACTGGTCAAATGATGAAGAATCAGGATAATACTAGTCAGTTAAGAATCAGGAACAAATTAGTTTTGATTCTCAACTAGTCAATGCTTTTTATCATGTAATAATCAGTATCTTAGTATCCCTATAGTTCTGACCTTATGAAATACTGACTGTTTTTAAGGCATATCAGCTTTAATCAATAAATATTATGTAGTAAATTGTATACCTTTCAGATTTTCAATTCTTACATAAAATATTACCGATTTTGTTATTAAATATTAAAAGATATCAGTAAAGTATCATAAATATCTAATATTCTATGAAATAATATTTGATATGCAATGATAGAGAATATAGACATGTAGATAGGTTAACACTCTTATTTATAGCATTTATTATTTATTTATTTATGTAATTAAACATATCAATACTTTAAAAAATTGAATATTGGTATAACTAGTATAAACAAAGAAATCATTGTATTATATGTTCTGATGCTAGATATGAATCCTTCTATTTATTGGTATTATTGTCATGTATTTTTATAATTCCCTTTTACCTATTGAAAAAGAATCCTCAACAAACTGATCCAATATACTATGTACTGGAATTATACAATCTCTACTAAGATCATAAAAATTTTTCTTCCATAACTCAATGTTGCAAGAATTATCATTGCCATCAATCTTGCAATAGAATCTAGTTTTATAATCCTCTGCTAGTAAATACCACTTCACAAATACTAAAGAATATTTCTTGGAACCTTCTGGTTTCAGAAAGTGTACAGTATGTTCAAAATAATATTTAACTATATCTGCATAAGTATTTTTAGTATCTCTATAAGTAAATTGTACTAAAATCTTAGCTGATTTAATATGTCTTTTTGAATATATTGATCTGAAAACTTTGGCATTAAATTGTAACTACCTGTAAACATTTACCTTCAGAAGTATCAGTATAGCATTAGAAAGATGAATCTTTAACAATAATACAAAATCTTTATTATATGTATTATAGTAATATTCAGCTAATAAAATTATTACTTCTTTTGTAAGGTTCATGTCTACTTTTTTCAGATTAAGAAAGGCATCAGGAAAGAGTTCTGAACCTGCTCCTGCACTTTCTTCTATATTTTTGGACATAGATAAGAATTCCTGATAATCTCTTTCATTAAATTCATCTTGAACTGCAAGACTGCTGGTAGTTTTTTTTGGTGTTATTAAAGGCAAACAATTTAATAAATGTGGATATTTTTGAATATGAAATGAAAAATGTTTGAGAAGAGAATTATACTAGATTATTTTCAGTAATTCTAGTTTGATTTTTCTATTACTATTATGATATGAGCCTATAAGATAAAATATTAAAAAGAACTCAACAATCTATCAATGCATATTAGTATAAGAAACACAATATTTTACCTAACAAACTATTCATTCATTTATAACTAAAGTAATAAAACGCATATAATGGATTGTAATCTAACACATATTAATATATATGTAAGCATAGATACAAGTTTAGTGTAATTTTTTCTGATCTATAATTCACTTCAATAAGCTTTACCATTTTTAAAGATGACTGTAAGCTTGCTCTAATCCATCCTTAGAGATTGACTGACATATGAGAATATTACATGCCTAAATAAAATTGGTAAAAATTGTTTGATCTGATTCTTTGAGTAGATCTCATGTAATGAAAGTTGCATAGACTAAGATAAAAGTTTTCTATTAGTCTGCGGTAAAATCTGAAAAACCTTTATCTGTTGTTATTTTATTTAGAATTCTACCAATATCTGATGGAACTTTTATTTTATTGGCTTGTTCCTGCATTTTTTCTAGTTTTTGTGATATTAATTTACCTTTCTTAATCCATAATCAGATTATGATCTATTTAGCAACATTCAGGAATAAGTATTGCATAGAATCTACAACAAGAAATTGCACTGAATCAAAATACTGAAGCTGGTATATTTCAGATCATCAGACTAAAGTATCATAAACGTGATTTTTTCTGGCTTCTTTGGTATTACAATCTAACCATTTTTATGCATTTTCTCAAATTTAATTTACATCCCTTTCAACAAACCACTCTTTAATATCGGTAAATCCTCCAAAATTTAGTTGTCTACAATCATTGTATTGTGCACACTTTAAATATTTGTGATAAGCAATGCATGCTGATATAAACTCACATAATTTCTGGGCAGCTATGATATTATAGGAATAGCAGATTATTGCAACTCAAATAGGCTTACCATTAGAACTTTCATATATTGTTGAAAGCTCTATTCCATTCCATAATTCAATTAGTTGATCAACTAAAGGAGCTAAATAATGGTTCAGATGGTGTAATTTTAATTCATTAGGCCCAGGAATCAAAGCCATTGTTATAATGTTTGATGGCTTAAACTTCTCAATTCTTAGGAGGTTGCAAATTACATCATAGATAGCTTTAATGCTATAATTAACATTTTTGAACAGCTGAAACTAATCTAGATTTAGCATAATTCCCAAATGACAGTCTGATACCTCTTTTTAGAAAAAAGGTAGATTTTCATTTGGATCACGAAAGGTCTTCCAAATTTTTCCATCATAAATATCATTCAAATACTGAGAATTATTATATTGATCTGTCCATTTTCTACACGATTCTTCAAATCCTTTATGATTATGTATTAATTGTAATTAATGTCTTAAACTGACAGTTAGAAATATAATAGATGGTTAGTATATAATTTTACCTGTAATGGGAATATTCTTATTAAGTTTGGCTCTACATTTTTCTCTTTTGTTTGTCATTAGATGTTTTGAAAATCTATATAGGTACAATGACTTAAGACTGGAGTTTGAAAAAATTTATCAGTTGATACTTTCATTATATTGTACAATTTGCAATATTTTCACATGCTGCATATTTAATAACATGAGCATAAATGCCAAGTTTCTTACAAGCACTATATAATAATATTGGGAAAATTTGATATGTATTTGCATTCAAAAGAATCAAAAGATACTTAATAAATTTGACCAGAGAATCAGTAACTACATCAGACAGTTGATATCTCTCTTAGTATAATAAAATCAATAAAATGATCTAATGAAAACTTTCATTGAAATCGATGATAAGTACTTCTAGATCGTCATTGCCGTATGTATACTCTGGCACAGCAAACCCACTGAATGGTTCTTCTTCAACAAAATCAAAGTTACTATTATTCTGATCTTTATTATTGCTACTTTCACTATCATTATCATTATCATTATCATCATTAGAAATATCCTGTTCAATAATAATCATAGGATAATTAACATTCTTGACAATCCTATCACTGATCCACTTTTTTAACCTTCCAAATTGTCTTTTGATTATTTCTTAAAAAGAAATGAATAACTTTCTTTTTGGATCAATTCTATTTTTTCTCAATAGGTTGATTCTACTTCTTGATAGATTGATTCTATTTCTAAATCATTATCGCTTGAGATGTCAACTTCAAAAAGATCTATCAATGTATCCTAGTTTAGTTCTCCAAATGATTCAACTGTTAGTATATCTTCAATAATCTCTCTTGATTTAATATCAATTTTTGATTCATTTTTTTTTATTTGTGGTGAAACAAAATGACTTTTATATGCAACACAATAACATTGAACCTTTTTTGTTCTATCAGAAGTAACAGATAGTTCATTAGAATCTTTTACAAAGGATTTTTTAGTTTTTTCAATAGTTTCTTGACATCATAAAATTCAATGATAAATAATAAAAAAAATTTTCTTTTTATAATTTTATATAGTCTATTTTCAATTATTATACCATTATTAGGTAATACAATATTTTTTACGTAATATATTGTTAGATATATTGTTAAATTATCAATAAATCAAATTCAATAAATTAACAATTTTTACATCAAAAATTTATTCTGATCACTGTGTGAATTTTTTAGTTTAGATTTTATTTAACTTTTCTATATTTTATATATTGTGTTAATTTTATCATTTGAACTAAATAATGCATAAATTATGGAGTCATAAAAAAAAAGTTTATTCTGATATAAGAAGTTTAAATAGAAATCTAAAATAATTATAAATAATATGAACAAGTAGACATAGACCTATATTTTTTTTCTTCCCACTTCACTCACTGTATTTGTTTGCAGAAATAAAAAAAATATACATATATAAAAGGTTTGTTTTTTCTATCAAACTTTCCATTTATACTATTTTTGTTTAAATATAACTATCAACTTCTCATCAAATTTTGGTTAATATGTATAGTAGAAGACCTTTCAAATAAAAATTATTAGGGAATATTGTTTAAGATCTTTAGATTAAAACAGTTATCGCTATACATTCGATGTCACTGCACAAACATTATCATTCAACCTCAGTGTCAAGATATAATCATCATTATTATCTAAGAAGTTATTCTCATTTCACAAGAAGAGATAGTTTAAGTTACTCAAGAAGCCATTGTAGAAGTCGATCTTCAAGTATTTAAAAAGGACGTTCACCAACATGTTAGGATTCAAAAAGTAATAAAAGTTATAAGAATGCCAGTATCTATTAAATAAAAATCATTACGATCATTAACTGATTTTTTAAAAAATATAATTATTAATAATATCACCCAAAATTTTCATTTTATAAACATTGAAACTTTAAGAAATGTTATCAGTACACTTGTAGAAGAGGTTCAAAGTCTTAAAGCTTAATAATTTTAACAGTTTCAATCCTCTCAATAGTCTTAATATAAAAAAGAAACATCAGTTGAGTCATTAGCCAAATCAACTCCTTGTAGAAACATGTCTATTAGTCCAGAATAAGTAACCAGATATCGTCATTATACTCAGAATCTTCTTGAAAACATGGATGAAAAACAGTATAAGTTATTCTATGTAAATATCAAGTAATTATCAATCTATTATTTTAAATTACATTCATAACTATGCATATATTTTTTAAGGATGAAGTTGTACAGGTTCTTAATGGGCTTGATAAATCTTTGCAGCTTGATTTATCTAAAAAATGGCAGGAAATCTTCGGTAAAGTATCGAAGGAAATGATGAAAGCAATCAGTAAAGCTATATAAGGAAGGTTTCATTATAATGATACAGAGTTAAAGTAGGTTTGCAATCAGTAAAGCTATGTAAGGAAGATTTCATTATAATAATACAGAGTTAAAGTAGGTTTTACAACAGTTACACTATCATTGCAATAATTAGAAAGTCAAACTTAATCCGGAAAAGGTCAAGACTAAAAAAAAAAGAAAAGGGATAAATTCTTGTAGGGAATGTGAGTATTAACTTTTTGTAATGTCTATCCAGTAAACCTTATATTATTATCATTTATTATTTGATTTATAATAGAAAAAGGAAAGAAGACAAAAAGGCATTTTGTATATGTTTAATACTGACGATGTTTCACTTAAAGAACTACAACCACCTTCTTTAACTTAGAAAGATTTTAAGAAAGGTTGTGAAGATTTAATAAATAAAGAAGGCTTCACAGTGATAAAATATTCGAAATTGATGACGAACTTGTAAATATGAAAATTGAAGAACATGTTCATATAAAAATAAATGAGAAAATGACAAGCACATTCTTTGTGTATATGATAAGCCTTAGAGATCACGTTGTGTAAGTGTTAAAATATTTCAAATTGCATCTTATCATTATTTCTTACTTGTTATTGTCTCTTTATTTTTAACAGGCTCGCAAAATTCTTTATTTGGCTGATAATATCAGAGAAAAAATAAGTCACGTCAAAACTGTACGTTGTTACGTTGGTTTTCGTAGCTTCAAATAAAATCTCAAAGGGTAAATAAAACTAAGACAATTACTCAAGGAATC